AACGTTCTGCTTGGCTCTTTGTTGGAACACTTGCCAACCCTAGCATATTGGCCTTAGGATTAGAAAGACTCTTTTATTCTTTTATACTTTTGGATTATCTTACTGTTTTGTTTTGCTTCTTGCCGGGTGGTGGTGGCGCGTGCCTTTAGTCCCAGCACTCGGGAGGCAGAGGCAGAAGGATCACTGTGAATTTGAGACCAGCCTGGTCTACAAGAGCTAGTTCCAGGACAGCCTCCAAAGCCACAGAGCCTGTCTCAGGGAAAAAAAAAAAAAAAAAAAAAAAAAAAAAAAAACGAGAACATTATTGTTCAAGGCCAGACTGGTCTACAGAGAAAGTTCTAGGACACACTCCAAAGCTACACAGAAAAACCCTGTATTTATTTTTAGTGTATGTGTATGAGTATTTTGTCTGCATGTATGTCACTGAACTACATGAGTACCTGATGCCCTTGGAGATCAGAAAAGGGGGTATCAGATCCCCTATAACTAGAGTTATAGATGGTTGTAAACCTCCCTGTGGGTGCTGGGAACTGAACCCAGAGCTGAGCCATCTCTCCAGTTCCAGTTTTCATAGCTTTAAAGACCAAGCAGTTTCCTTCAGCTCAGGATAACCATGAAGTTGCTGCTACAGAATTTGTCCCGTCCTGCCTGGGGAGAGGTGTGAAAAATCGAATGGAAGACAGTAGATGGGTTTCTTGTGGGATCCCCTAACCACTCTGCGTCTCTGTAGGAAGTTGGAGCTGCCACCTGTGTCTGGATCTGCTGAAGGAGAAAGCGTCCATCTACCAGAACCAGAGCTCCTCCTGATGTGCCACCCGGCTCCCCACACACCTAAGGCTGTTGCTCTCCTCTACCTTGGTTTTCATACCCCTCTTCTTCTTCTTTCACTCTGGTAGTTCTGCCCAACTGCCTTTGGCAACAGCACAGGGAGGTGGCAACTCTTGACTGCCTCTGGTCCCAAGCCCTCAGGGAGTAAGGAGCAGCATGCTGCCCCAGGCTGACCTGTGGGCCCAGCTTCTCTCTGCTCTCCAAGAAGTGCATTCACTCTGCTTGCCTTGGGCCCAAGTCCCTGGTAATCACAGGGTTCAAATGGGTTCCTCTAAGAAGTATGAGAGCAGCTCACTTGTCTCAAGCCTGGCCTACCCCTCCTCCCCCTCTGGTGTCCAGAGTTTTACCCCAGGGGTGAGCCAGGCCTAACCTTTGCTTGGAGCACCTGGAGTGATCAGACTGAGGTGGCACTTGCTAGGACCCTTTCCTACCCCTTGTTCTGCTTCACTTTGCCTCTGCCAAAGCAGTCCTGTGTCTTCTGTCATGCTACATGGGGTCCTGTGCTTGCACTGTGATGCTCTCAGGCACCTCCTGGCTCTGTCCTGTTCTGCCCAGTCCCACAAAGAGACAAGCAGCTTCACCTGCCCTTCCCGTGCTTGGCTGGCGCGCTCACAGGTGGTCTCTGGCAATCCAAACATTTCCCATCCTCAGACTTTTGAGTCTTCTGCCTCCTTCCTTGTTCCCTTTGGTTTTGTGGGGGAGAGGGACAATGTCAGGGGGCCCTGCCAGAAGCTTGGGGACCACAAGAAGTTGGATAATGTGCCTGTTTTTTAACTCGATAAAAATGCCTACCTCCAAAATCCCCTTTTCGTTCTTCCTGGACCTGGGCATTCAGCCTCCTGCCCTTAACTGAATCAGGAGCCTCTGCCTCCTACCTGTGTATCCTGACTCTGGGTCACAGGGAGGTCCCCCTTTCCTTGCACACTAGCTAGCAGCTGGTAAAGTCTTCACACTCTGATTTTTGTTTCCTGCTTAGTGGCACTGACATTAAGTAGGAGGGGACAGTCCATGCCAGAACACTCTGGAATGGCCTTCCTCCTTGGCTGTGGGCAGGCCCTGACTTGTTTTCTGCAAAGTTGAGGCCCCTCCTCCTATCCTTAGTTCCTGTATCCAAAACATTAGTAAGAATAAACATTTTTACACAGAGCCCTCTGATGGATGGTTTGTCTCCTAACTGCTTGATGAAAAGTCCTTTCATTTCTTTTTCTTTTCCTTTTTTTCTTTTTTGGTTTTTCAAGACAGGGTTTCTCTGTGTAGCTTTGGAGCCTATCCTAGCACTCGCTCTGGAGACCAGGCTGGCCTCGAACTCACAGAGATCCGCCTGCCTCTGCCTCCCTAGTGCTGGGATTAAAGGCGTGCGCCACCAACACCCGGCTCAAACTTACTTTCTTAGTAAGAATGGTTTTTTGAAAAATTGACAGCCTTTTCTCCCAAAATCAAAATCTTTGCTGAGCACCGCCATATAAAATTTTTGTTAGTTTTGGCATAAATTCAAGTTTATAACCATTTATTATTGTAAAGAAAAAATGAAGCTGTTTTAATTAATACAAAAAGTGAGTTAAAATCAACTTTAGCACCCTATTTCTGTGCCTTGTCTGGTTGGGAAGACAGCTATGTAGATGGAGGTGTGGCAAGTCTATGGCATTGTGATGCCAGGTGTTTAAGTGGGCACAGAAGCTTGTTCTTGGTATAAATTAAAAGAAATGAAAGCAGGGCCTGGAGAGATAGCTCAGCAGGCAAGAGTGCTTATTACTTTTGCAAAGGACCAAGTTCAATTCCCCAGCACTCAAATCAGGTGGCTTAAAACCACCCATAAGTCCTGTTCCAGGGTGATCTGATTTCCTCTGGCTAGGCTGGTCATCTGCATTCAATGTGCATAATGCCTACCCTCTCAGCTCTATACATGTGCAAAACAGTCATGGGACAAGGAAAGCTTTTAGATGATGAGAGCAGCCAGGAGGAGAGTAACCTCAAGTCTTGTCATCTGGTGTGCGTGTACATTCATTGCCTGCAATACTGCTGAGCCAGAGCTGGGTTCCAGGGCCAGAACTGTCCATAATGTAGCCTTCCAGCATTCCCAGGCTGTTTATATATTGACAGTTTCCCCAGGAACATTAGTATTTTCATATTACATAGTGGATCTTGTATAGCTCTCATGACTATATTGACCTTTTAAGAATGTGAGCTGGCAGTGGTGGCACAGGCTTTTAGTCTCAGAACTCTAGAGGCAGAGGCTGGTGGAGCTCAAGGCCAGACTGGGCTACAAAGAGAGTTTTAGGACAGCCAGGCTACACAGGTTGACCCTATTTTAAGAAAAATGTATGGTTATGTGTACATCAGTGCAGAGGTCACGAGGAGGACGAGGAGGACATCTGATCCCTTGGAGCTGGAATTACAAGTAGTTTTGAGCTACTGAAGTGGGTGCTGGGAACTAACTCTGGTCTGGGGGAGGGGGTAGGTTGGTTAGTTTTGTTTTGAGTGTTTTGCCTATGTGTATGTCTGTGTACCAAGTACACAAGATAACCTGGAACTGGAGTTAAACATGGTTTTGAGCCACCTTATGGGTGCTGGGAATGAAATCCAAGTCCTTTGGAAGAGGAGCCAGTGCTCTTAACAGCTGAGCCATCCCTTCAGCTCCTCAATTGAGGTCTCCTGTAAGAGTGGTACAAACTCAAACTGCTGGGTTTAATTCTATATAGCTGAGAGATGGCCCTGGCAGTAAAGACACTTGCTGTGTAAGCCTGACCACCTGAATTCTGTCCCAGAATCCCAGGTAAGGATCTGGATGCTGTGTTGTGTGTCTGTTATGCCAGTACTCTTAAGAGACATAGGAGGTGGAGACATAATCTGCTTAACATCCAACTAGATTGGAATATGCAAAATGTTACCTCAACAAGGAAGGAGGAAAAAATGCTCACAAAGGTTGTCACCTTATTTCCACACTAATCCCATGGCATGTGTGCACCTACACACATATACATATTTGGCTTTTTTTGGGGGGGGGCTTTGGTTATTGACATGTAGCCTACGGTGTCCTCAAACTTGTGATGTTGCCTCACCCTCCTTGAGTGCTGGGATTACAAGTGTGAGCCTCATGCTTGGCTTTTTTCTTCTTTTTTTTTTAAATCTGATTCAGTTAAATACTTATGTGTCACCAGAGTGTCCTCAGATTTTTCTGGTACATCCTGAGGTCATTGTGGCCTATTGAAAAGCCTGAGCGCTGCATTCTGTAAATTGGCAGAGTGCTATGGACTCTGAGATGTGCTCTGCCTGTCCTGCTAAGTAGGGCAGAAGTAGAGGGAGCCAGGCAGCTATCCTTGGCAACTGAGTAGTCTTGAGGGCCAGAAAAGAAAGTGCAAATGAGACCAGTGAAATAGACTTAGGAGGAAGTGTTGGCTTCACAAGAGACACTTGGAGAAACCGAAAATACAGAAAAGTGGGGTCCCGGCTCTTTAAGGCTCAGGGAGGCTAAGATATCTACACCTAGTTCAGGACCAAATGTTAAGGAGGGAAATGACCACCATAGAAACTTAGAACTTGCCATGAGACAACAAAACTGGTAAAAATGGGTCCCTTCTTGCCCCCAACGGCCTGGCGGCTTGTGCTTTGTAGCTGGTTGGTGAGACCGAAGGCCAGCGCTGTCCATGGTAACTGAGTTTTGTGGTTTAAAGCTTTCATCTGTTCGTTTTCTCGTTCCATCTGGTTTCCAAAACAACTCCGGGAGGGCCGGTATCCCTGCTTGGCACCCCGTGAGGATGGGGTCGAAGCCACCTGTTGGGACGCCGTTCGCCCGAGAGATAATCGGGCTCTGAGGCCGGGTCCTCCCGCCAGACCCTCGCTGGAGGCTCGGCTTCCCGCCCCTCAGCGCGGAAAGCTCCTCCTCCAGACGGCCGACGAACCGCCACTTCCTCAGCGCCCAATGAAATGCAGTCGGAGGTGGGACAAGTGAAACTGATAGCCAATCAAACTTGCCAAGGCGGGGCTGCTGAGAGGCCGGGCCGCGGATTTCCCAGCCCCAAGAGAGCTCGGCGCGGGCACCGCGCGCAGG